TAGTCGTAGTGGTAGTCGTAGTAGTGGGAGTGGTGATATTTTCAGTAGTACCAGTTGTAGTAGTAGTAGTAGTAGTAGTAGTAGTAGTAGTAGTAGTAGTAGTAAGAGTCGTACTAGTTGAAATAGTTTTTGTAATGGCCGTTGTAGTCGTCGTAGTAGTAGTGGTGGTAGTAGCTGTAGTAGTAGTAGTAGTAGTAGTAGTCGTCGTAGTAGTAGTAGTAGTAGTAGCAGTAGTCGTAGTACTAGTCGTAGTAGGCGTGGTACTAGTAGTAGTAGTCGTACCCGCAAAAATAATGTGCAAGCGGTAAAAGTAGTGTCGGAGTCGTAGTTGTAGCAGTAGTAGTAGTAGTAGTAGTAGTAGTAGTAGTAGTAGCAGTAGAAGTAGTAGTAGTAGTCGTAGTAGTAGTAGTAGTAGTAGTAGTAGTAGTAGTAGTAGTAGTCGTAGTAGTAGTAGTAGTAGTAGTAGTAGTAGTAGTAGTAGCGGTAGTGGTAGTGGTAGTGGTAGTGGTAGTGGTAGTGGTAGTGGTAGTGGTAGTGGTAGTGGTAGTGGTAGTAGTAGTAGTAGTAGTAGTAGTAGTAGTAGTAGTAGTAGTAGTAGTAGTAGTAGTAGTAGTAGCACTAGGATTTGTTCCGTGTGAAGTTCATGCCTGCCCGCGGGTGGAATTACTGTCCGACTCTGCTCATTACTGTCAACCCTCTTTCGCGTTTTTTTCCTCTGCTTCCTTAAACATATGTTGTGTATCGTGCTGGTATCGTTCGGCATCTCTATGACCACGTGGTGGTGGACCACAGGCTTATTACACACTGCGTGCCAGCTGTTCTTCGAAACCTTCTCGGTGTCTATCCAGACAGTGAAATTCTGGGACATGCTGGATAACGCGACTGAATAGAATTATTTGTCGTACCCAGTGAAGAGTTCGCGCATGTATTTTGCAGTGATCCTTCGATCCCTTTTATTCGCATTGGTTAGCAGCAGTGCAATGGTGGATAGCAAGTGGCTCTCAGTGAAGCAGTGCATGCTGCACGCAGATGGTATTTCATCCCGCTGCTAGAGACGAACCCTATCCCTAGGAAGTGACCTTTTCCAGAAACAGCGCTGATGTGATGCAGTCTGTGGCCGTCCGTCATGAGCGAAGGGGTTTATTACGTTATCTTGTGCTTTTGGGTTGGGTGCTTGACCAGTTGCGCTCCAGCCGACGGTGCGCAGTCAGAGCCGCTCCGAGCTGAGAGCCAGGTCATCTTTCCTGTCCCGCTGCCCTTGGGTATTCCTTGCTCTGGGGCGTTCGGGGGATTCTGGAAATACAGGGGACGGGGGGCAGGAAGACAGGTGGGACTCTCTGCACCTGTGATTAGCTTTATGGACGAAGTGCCCAGGGCAGATAGGGCTTACCAAGTGCGCCTGACGAGGTGCACAGTTTGTAGAAGTCGTATGCCACCACAAACGGTAGCTCTCATCTTCTCATTGGTGCTCCTGGGCGTCAACTGACTAGGCTCTTGTGCCATTTCCTGGCGTAGCCTTTTTACTTTCTTCAACGCTTTGGGATACGGAGTAGGTCCACGTGGCCAGTGGGTCGTCAAAATAACACGCATTGAGCGCACCTAATGTGGGCATTTTTTTGACACATGATTCGGGAAGGGCGACCGAGTAGCGCGAAGCGAAAAGGCAGGATAACGGCCCCAGGTGGTTGACGGTATGCGCGGCGAGCGGTGGATTTTATATTAGGCGTCAGATATTTTGAAGCGCCTCGCTTCCAGTTCCTTGCAGCCGGCGATCGTCGGGCAGTCGGTCCCACAGGATACCCAGGCCCTGGAGGTTGGAGCTGTCAGATCTTCGAGGAACAGGTACCTAGCGACCGTCTGTTGTGAACGACTCCTAGCTCTGGCGACGCTGGCCATTTCGGCAATGCCGCTGACAGTGGGTATCTCGCCGCGCCGCTTTTTCCAAAGCGATGCCTTCCGTCTTGGGGAGGGCGCCTCGGGCACCAGGGCAAATTCCGCCTCGGGCGCGGTGCGCTCGCTCGCCGTGGAGTTTGCCGCGGTGCCGGCTTCGTCTACTTGGGGCGGGGACGCATGGTTTGCCGTGGTGTCGGCGGCGTCCACTGCGGCGCGTTGAAATCAAGTGGCGCGGCGACGCATGGAAGAAAGGTAATGTCGCTGCCGCTGTCATGGCAGGAGAAAGCGATCTAGGTAAGGACAGAACGAGAGAGGTAGCAGTTTCATGCTCGCAGAAGAAAGCGAGTGCAGAAGTCCTGAACATGAGAGCGGACCCAGGTTCATAGCGCGTGTGGGAGGGGAGGACCTCATCAAGATCGAACTTGTTTCTCACGGCGCCGCGCCGATGATCAACATATTTGAAAGCGCACGCGTGTGTGTATGTATTTATTTTTATATATATATATATATATGTGTGTTTGCATGTGCATGAGGCGAACGCATGCGGGAACGCGAGCTTGCTAGCTTTGATCCGAGACCCCTTCTTATTTCCAATCATCCTGTGTTGTTGAGTCCTCCTTTTGAAGAGACAGCGCTCCGCGTTCCTCCTCTCCTCTCCTCTCCTCTCCTCTCTCCTCTCCTCTCCTCCTCTCCGCTCCTCCCTCCCCCTTCCCCTCCCTCCTCCCTCCCTCTCCTCCCCCCTCTCCTCTCCTCTCCTCTCCTCACCTCTCCTCTCTTCTCCTCTCCTCTTCTCTCCTCCTTCCACTTCTCCCTCCTCCCATCCTTGCCTCTGCCCTCCGCATGTTCATTTCGGCACGCCCCTCACGAGGATCGTGGCCCCATAGCGAGCTCCGCCGAAGTCTCCAGTGGCAGGGTCCGCATGGCTGACTCGGGCCAGTTCGGCACACCCCTCACGAGGATCGTGGCCCCATATGGAGCTCCACCGGTGGCCCCAGTGGCAGGCGCCGCATGGCGGGCTCGGGCTAGCTCGACACACCTTTCAGGAGCATCGTGGCCCCATATCATGGCGCCAACATCGCAGAGCGGGTTTCGTTCGGAAAACGATGGGATGGGCCCAGAGTGTCCTGGAGAATGTCGTTCCGGATTTCGAGGTGAATTTCGTGCGGATTTATCCTGGCCAGGAACGAAGAAAAATACACATCCACGTGAACGTCACATCGTTTTTCGCTCGCCGTTTCGGGTTTTTGCATTGACAGAAATCCACGCAGAAATCAGCTGCAGCACGTCTGCAGGGCCCGTGCAGTGACCCATAGGGAGCTCCACCGAAGGCTCCAGTGGCAGGGTCCGCATGGCTGACTCGGGCCAGTTCGGCACACCCCTCACGAGGATCGTGGCCCCATAGGGAGCTCCACCGAAGTCTCCAGTGGCAGGGTCCGCATGGCTGACTCGGGCCAGTTCGGCACACCCCTCACGAGGATCGTGGCCCCGACCTCCAGCCGCACAGGTTATACCGCGTGCGCTGTTCTGAGTTTGCGTGCCCCCCGCTTTGTCTCATGTCCCTCATGGTACTCGCAGCTGCACTTTGTTGGGTCTTTCGTGAGGCTACTTTTCGTCCTGCTCCTCATTTCTATGGTGCATTCGACCTTGCCCATGTTTGATTAGCAGACGCTCCGTAGCATCGGTGCGTCTTTGAGCTACTGGATGCATGAGGAGTTCTTTGGCAGGAGATATGGGCGTGCAGATCGCATTTGATGGCTACACGAGAAGGATGATGATGATGATGATGATGATGATGATGATGATGATGATGATGATGATGATGATGATGATGATGATGATGATGATGATGATGATGATGCTGATGATGATGATGATGATGAGGAGGAGGAGGAGGAGGAGGAGGAGGAGGAGGAGGAGGAGAAGGAGGAGGAAGAGGAGGAGGCGGAGGAGGAGGAGGAGGAGGAGGAGGAGGAGGAGGAGGAGGAGGAGGAGGAGGAGGAGGAGGAGGAGGAGGGGGAGGAGGAACACACATCGGAGGTCGTGGGGTGAAGCAGAAGCTAAAGAGAATCCCCCACTGGGGAACGGATTTCGGTCGCGGCTCGTGTCGTGCGTGTGGGCAGGGCGAACATGCGCTAGGGCGAGAGATATTCTGCCCTTGTTAGGGCCAAGTGTGTCAGATTGTCTTCCCTTCCCAGCATGGCAGGCACGTTGCTCCAGGGGTTGTTCCGCGGTTGACCTGTGGCTGGTCCTGTGACTGTATTGTGCGATTTTCCTTCTGGTTGTCTCTTCCAATTGTCTCTTGATGCGGTTATCGCTTGCGGGTGCCGAGTGATTGTCACGTGTTCGTCCCTCGGTTGTCCTGTGGTTGTCCCGTTTGCCAGCAGGCTCGCCACCCTGAACGACCTCGAGCCGAGCGAGCTAGCTGGGGCTCTAGGCTTGGAGGTCGTCGGCGGCGCCGCTCCACTGGTCGACCAGGAGGCGGCTCCCTGCTGGACGAGCTGTGGCCACTGCTGCCGATCGCGGTGGCGGCGGCCGAGCCTGGGCGGCGGCATTTGGCGCTGCTGCCGGTGGAGGCGCTGGCGGGGGAGCTCGCCAAGCGCCGCAGGCTGGCGCAGCAGCAGGCGCTGGAGGAGGCTGTCCACCGCGGGGCGATCCCGCTCCCTGCGCCGCCTGCTGCCGCGAGGCGGCGCCGACCCGCTTCAGCCGCGCGCGGGCCCACGCGGCCCCGTTAGTGACGCTGGCCCAGGTTGAGGTGGCCAAGCCGCAATCAGAACGGTGCGCCCGCCATCCACGCCTTAACCGCTGGACGGTGGGCTAAAACGTATCACTGTGGTGAATTCTGTCGGCTTACTTGTTGAGTGCACTACTACGGCCAGGTGCTACTCAAGTGGGTCAGCATTATGAAAACTGTGGCAGCTATCCTTGCGTACGCCAGCCAGGAGGGAGCATGTGTACATTCACTTGTCCAGCTATGTGCTTCTGAATGGAGTGCTTTGGATTTCCAGCGCCGCAGCATTTGTTATTCCAGAGTCTTAGGGGGAGGATCTTCTAGCCCCGCGTCTCTGAGGTATCTCTTTCTGAATCGTTTGATCCGTGCTGGACATATTTGCTGGGCGTGGTTTTACAAGGCCGGGTGTTCGACGTCTTGGTTTGACATTTTCCTCTTCGGCTTGGCCTTTTGGGGCTCCTCTGGGGAGCAGGAAGAGTGAGGAGGAGAGGGAGGAGTAACAGGTCGCCATTATGTGGGTACGTGCGCGCATTTCTTGCTGGACGTTCTGACGGGCTCAACTTTCGAGCCCGTTAGTTTTCGGTCGCAGGCATGCGTCGCGCGTGTGTTTCCAGCGCGTGCACGCATTTCTCGGTTGATATTCTGACGGGTTCAATTTCTGAGCCCGCTAGTTTGTCGCTGCGTTACCCGTGCGCGCATTCTGCTGGACAGCCTAACGCGCTCAATTTTAAGCCCGTCAGTGTTTCGCTTGCGCGCATTCGTGCTGCTAAGTCTGACGGGTTCGATTTTCGAGCCCGTCAGTGTTTCGCTTCAGACGTGTCGTCGGCGGGTGTCCCGTAGGGTTTCCCACGGGTTGCCGTAAGGTTCATTTAGGGTTGCTTTCGGTTTCCCGTCGGGATTCCTTTGGTTTCCCTTTGGGCTCCCTTAAGTTTCCGATAGGGTTTGCCTGAGGTACCCTGGGGGTTTCCCTTGGGTGTCCTAGGGGTGCCCCAGGGTCTCCTTAGGGATTCCTTACGGATTCCCCAGGGTGCGTTCACAGCGCTTGCGCGCTTTCTTGCTGCTAATTCTGACGGGCTCAATTTTTTTGACCCCGTTCGTTTTTCGCTTCAGGCGCCCGGCGCTTGCGCGCATTAGTGTTGCTAATTCTGACGGGCTTGATTTTCGAGCTCGTCAGTTTTTCGCTGCAGGTGTGCTTTTCGCGGTGGCGCGTGCGCGCATTTGTGCTGCTAATTCTTACGGTCTCAATTTTCGAGCCCGATAGTGTTTCGCTTCAAGCGTGCGTCGCGCGCGTATGTCCGGCGCTTGCTTGCGCGCATTTGTGCTGCTAATTCTGACGGGCTCTTTTTTGAGCCCGTCAGTGTTTCGCTTCAGGCATGCGTCGTGCGCGTGTTTCCAACGCTTGCGCGCATTTGTGCTGCTAATTCTTGCGGGCTTGATTTTCTTCGAGCCCGTCAGTGTTTCGTTTCAAGCGTGCGTCGTGCTTGTGTTTCTCGCGCTTGCGCCCTTCTGTGCTGCTCATTCTGACGGACTCTATTTTGGAACCCGGCCGTCTTTCGCTGCAGAAGTGCGTCCCGAGTTCCAGCGTCCGGATGGGGCCAAACGCCCTAGCATGGGGTCCAGAGTTCCAGGATGGGGTCGAGACTTCCAGCTCCACGACGGGGTCGACAACCCAGAACTGGGGTCCAGGGCTTCACGGTGGAACCTGGGATGGGGACGAGAGCTCCAGGATGGGGACGCGAGCCCCAGCATGAGGACGGAGTCGAGAAACCTTGCGGTGTGTGTGCGTGGGGGGGGGGGGCAGAATTCCAAGATGGGGTCGAGGGCTCCAGCGTCAGGATGGGGTCGAAAGCCCCGGAACTGGGGTGCAGAGCTCCCCGGTGGGAGTCCGGGATGGCGCCGACATCTCCAGGATGGGGTCGCGAGCTCAAGCGTCAGGATGGGTTCGAAAATTCCCGCATGGGGGCGACATACCCAGTGTGGGGTCGAGAGCTCCAGGCCCAGGATGGGGCCGAGAGCCCCAGACTGGAGGCTCAGAACTGCACAGGGGGAATCTGGGATGGGGCCGAGAGCTCCAGGATGGGGCCGCGAGCTCCAGCATCATGGCGGGGTCGAAGGCCCCAGGGCGGGGCCCCACATCTCCAGGATGGGATCCAGGGCTCCAGCTCCAGCGGTCGCCTTCCCACGGCAGACCTCCGAAGGCTAGAGCTGCTCGCCCGAAATTCTTCGCGCGCGCCAACCTCCGAGCTCCTCCTCCTCATCCCTCTCCCTCACTCCTTTCCACTCCTCGCTCCTCCTCTTCGCTCCTCCTCCTAATCCTCCCCCTCCTCCTCACTCCTCGCCCTCCTCACTCCTCACTCCTCACTCCCCACTCATCATCACTCCTCCTCCTCCTCCTCCTCCTCCTCCTCCTCCTCCTCCTGGTTCTCCCGACGGTGTCCTGGCGGTGCCCCCCGCGAGGAAACCTGATGGCCAGGCCGGCCACAGTCAAACTTTACCGGTTGGTGCTCAAAATAATTGTAGGAGGTGGGAGGGAGTAGAACGGGATACGAGGAATGGACTCCAGGAGGGAGGCCAGAGGGAGGAGAGGGAGGAGGGAGGGAGTCCGAGGACGGAGGGATGGGAGGAGGGACGAAAGGGAGGAGGGACGGACATGAATAATGATGGGTAGGAAGAAGCAGGGATGCGACGAGGGAGCGGTAGGAGGGG